CGAGGGTGGGCAGGCCTAACAGTGACGCTGATCCCTGGCCTCAGGGGACTGCCCTCTCCCCTCCAGGAAGCCCCGCCCACCCCGCTGTCTCCTGGGCTCCTCCCTGATCTCACGTAATCCTTTTAACAGCCCTGGAGGCAGCCGCACGGTGGGGGAGCCGGGTGCCAGCGGGGCTGTCTGATGACCCAGTGGGTAGGAATTTGGGCTGGTTCCTTCCCTGGGAATTGGAGATGGTGACAACTCTCCGGGGGCTGTGAGAACGCAGAGCACTTCAGGCCACAGAGCCTGGCACGGAGGCTGGGCTTGAAAAATCTATTTAATGATAAACACTGGCATTTAATACTACAGCATCATCGTCAAAGTTCTCAGCACCCGGATCGTTAGTGGTATGACTATTATTTTATGCAAGTGGAAGCTGAGGCCCAGAAAGAGGGTGGCAGGGAAGGACTGCCACCTCCCAAGCCACTACTGAGTCCACTCTGATTTTTCTAAAGGGTGAGCCTCAGTTTGTCCCAGAGGACCATCCTGCAGAGACAAAGATCTGCAGGGCCTCTTGGCACACGTCGGAGCTGGGTTTAAGGGGCTGGAGTCTTGGCTCCTTCTAGACCCAAGAAAAGGCCAACAGGCAACAGAGAGGAGTGGTTCTAAGCCAGGGCACTGGGTCAGACCACTGACACCCCAATTCTGGTTCTGCTGTGTGGTCCTGGACCAGAAACTTCATCCCCCCAGGTCTCCAGGATCCTGCGGGGTACAGAAGGGACAACAAAATCCCTCCTCCGTGGCACTGCTGTGTGCTTTCACAGAGACACAGCACAGGAAGGCACACAGCGGAGCCCAACACACAGTGAGCATCCCGTAAGGGAAGCTGTGATCTTGATTACAGCTGATAGGATAGGTCCTCAAAACCTGCCTGGCACCATGGACCGAACTGGTTCCCCTAAACCCTGGCATCTTCCCCCAGCTCTGACCTTTGCCGGCCACTGGCTTTGTCTGAAACCAGGACTGTGGTTTCCAGAACCAGCCCGGCTTCCCTGAGTGGGCTCACAGTGGCCCCTGCTGCCCGTGCCAGGAACTGCCTCAAATCCCAGGTCGCGACACAACAAAGCGAGGTTCCAAGAAGGCTCTTGTTTCCAGGGGTTGATGAAAACCACCACCAGACCAACAGCAGGGAGAGAAGACCGTGCGTAATGATGTTCGGGGGACACTGATTCCCTGTCTTCTCAAAATAAACACAAAACGCAAGATCAGACGAAGCCCCTTTCCGCTTTGGTCGCGGTCTTTTGTTTCCCTGGGTAAGTGTCGCCCGCAACACACTGCGGAACCAAGCGAAATTGTCGTTTCGGCGGGATGCTGTTCCCTGACCGGCACGTGCTGTTCAGAACAATCCCATTCTGATCTGGCACTTCTTAAACTGGACTCTTTACATCGCAGAAGCACGTGGAAATGAGCAGTCGCTGTGAGGCTGGGATACAGGGATATGCACCATCTCGTGATGGCGACCTCGCTCCTTGCGACTGATCTCCCCAGACGCTAGGATATGGGAAGCAGCCCCCCAGGTTGTGACCCCATCTTATCAGGCTGTTGCTACCAAGCAGGGGACCCGGGGACCACAGCTTAAGAAACAGGCAGGGTCAGTGCCTTAGCATCAGCACCGGGCTAATTGTGTCTATTAATGAACCGTACGCCAGCGTATGATTTAGAACAGAGGCCAGGAGGACAGGGATTTTTAAAGCAAATCACCCAAGAGGCTCCCCATTCTTTAAACCATGGAGTAAGAGCAAAGAAGGTAGATTTCACACAAAAATAAGACGCACTTTCTAGAGTCCAAAATATAAGGCTTACAGTTTGCACCTACAACCCGGCGAGATGCTGGCTGGTAATTCTAACCAGGACTTAACTCTCCCGGCCTTCACGCTAGAACTGGACAAACGCAGGTTAAATGAATGAGGTCTAGAACGTGGAGTCCTAAATGCTTGCTCCTGTGCAGGCCAAGCAGCTATAGGTTCCCAAGTGTCACAGACTGCAGCCAAGCTTCCCCTATCCGCTTGGCTGGGGCCGATGTGACCTGCCCTCAGGTTCCGAGGGCGAGATGGCCTTTCCTCTGGGCAACTCAGCACATGCCTGGAGAGCGCCTCGGTTTTAAACACTTCCCCCTTATGCCCTCTGCCTAAAGGTGTTTCATCCAAGGCTTGGGACTAGGTGATACCTAACTTACCTGAAAAACCAAACAGTGTAACGTACCAGCAAGGGGTTCCAAACTCATGGCCCTTGCCTGTGTCTCGCCCACAGACAGACTCTGTCCCACACAAAGTGTTTTTAGAAAGCGAAATAGTTGCCAACTTACTCCCACTAAGAGTTCAGATTGCCCGTTTCCCTTTCAAAGCGCAGGAGACCGTTCTGCATCCCTGCCAAGCATCGCCGCCGGCCCTCCAGCTCGTCTGCCCCTCGCAGCCAGGTCTCCCAGGCCCCGTTTCCTGCCTGGCCCCTGAGAGATCTCTGAGTTCTTGACTCCCATGCCAGCGGCTGCTGACAGACTGCGTTATTTCGGCAGGTGATTCCCCCGTATTTCAAAAGGGGCTTTCCACACACAGCAATGTAGACCAGAGGTCCCCAGCCCTGGCTGGCTATTAGATTCCCCTGCGGAGCTTTGATCCAGAAATCAGCGTCTGGGCTCCACCCCCGACCAATGAAATCCAACTCTCTGGGGCTGAGCTTGAGCAAAGGTGTGTTTCTAAGTCACTGGGTGACTGGAATGTGCAGAGCAGGTGAACCATGGGCTTAAACCAAAAAATGACTTGGGCGGTAGGATTTCAGGCAGATCACAGGCAGAGCTGGGTTTCAGCCGCCTGGGTTCCTGCCCCTCCCGGAGGTCGCCACTGAGGATGGAGAAGACTGACCGCCCTGTTTGGACATTTTCTGCCCAGTGCTCTGGAGAGCAGGGTCTGGGATGAAGGGAGATCAATCAAAGGGAGCCAGAGATGACCTTTGGAGACCACCGCACTGGCCTTCAGCAGAACCATGGAGGACCAGAGGGCCCAGCAGGCTCCTGCCCACACACAGGTCCCGCGGACTGAACCAGCGCCTCTCACCTGAAAAGCTCTCGGATCTCGCGGCTGTCAGCCTGGAAGGGGATGTTCCGCACCAGGATCTTGGAGGTTGTCTGCTTTCTGGGAACCTGTTTCTTCCGAGCAGATGTCGGGGCTGGCCTGGAGGGGAGGGGAGGGAAAGGGCTCAGGTTATTTGGGGTGTCGGCAGCTGCTGCCCTACACTGACTCCACCGCCCCCTTCTCCCAGCCACCCACCCCTCTACTGCCCCAAACCAATGTCCTCTGTCCAGGTGAGGGGCTCAAGGAGTCTGTGGGGACGAGGCTGAGATGAAAGGAGAGGAAGGCGGCCTCCCCCGGGTGCTGCACAGCCTCATTATCTCCTCCCCCGAACAGCTGTGGACGTCCAGTCGCCACATCTCAGCCTGGGGTGTCTGCTGCTTCATCTGAGAGACTCAGGGACTAGAGAACTCAGATGAGGGTGGGGCCAGGGTCTCACCAAACCCCGTCTCCTCTGCCTCTTTCTTTCCAGGTGCCCAGGAAGACTCTGGCTGGTCCTAAGGTCTCACTGGAGACATTTCATCACTAATCCAAAGCGCATCACCCAGGGGCCTAGAGCAGTTTCTAACCACGGAGACGGGCGGTGGGTGGGGGAGGAAACTCTCTCCGCCTGAGCTGCAAGGCCATCCCGAACCTGTCCCCCTGCTCTTCCAGGCAAACCGTCTGCTCCATCAAAGCCCGCTAGGGTCACGAGCATGGCTGTGAGCTGACAATCTGGTAACAGCTGACACTGGGCACTGTTCAGATCACCCCCAGTGCATTCGTTCAATCCCATGTACAAGTGGGTGAAGACGTCAGGAGTTGGACTAAAACTCAAAAAACCCCCGCATGACTTTAAGAAACTGGTCACTGGGCACAACGGTCTGTCTCCATCTCGAACACCTACTGAACCTCTTTTAAATTAAGTGGAGGCCGTCTCTGGGCACTGTTGTCCGCCTCCAAGAAACAAAGCCCATACAGCGAGACGGCCGGGTTTCACTGCCTCTTGTGGTTCGTCCCAAGCTCCAGCAACTCGCAACTCTCCTTAGGTTTTTCTACACCACCGAGATAAGCGGATTTTGCTTGTTTGTCCTGCCTGTGTTCCTTTTATTATAACGAATGTGTGTCAAACATTTACTCCAGGGACTGGTGCAGTCCCAGTTCATCAGGGAAATGGGTGTCAAAGCTGGCATGCGGGCCGTCACCTTAAATAAGAAGAGGCTCCAGTGGTGAGGCGGGGGTCGGGTGGGGGAGGACATCAAAGGGCCATGAGACACCCTCCAGGGCATCAGAGCAGAAGGGACCCACTCAGATCAAGGGGAAGAGGGGCGGTGAAGACTCACTTGGTGGCTCGTTCCGAGATCCTCACTTCCAGCTTATGGCCGTCCACGTCGTGACCCTAAGAGATAAAACAACATGGCCTGTCCCTCCATCCTCTTAGAAATACTCGGAGCGGGCTTCAGCTGAGCGAGGGGAAAGGAAATTTCAGTGGGGGGACTGAGCGTTCCCAGGCGGAGAAGCGCGCGGGAGTCAAGGACAGGGAAGAGCGTTTCCCGGAAAGGGCTCACGACAAGCCCGGGCAGCAGCTGGTGGTTAAGGAGACCCAGCCCTCCAACGTCCTCTCGAACCATGAGTGGGCCTTGACCTTTCAGCCATTCAAGGGGCACAGAATTTTCCATTGTTTATAATCATTTTCAGGCCAAGTATGCCCCTTCGGTCTGGTTTGCAGAGACAGTTCAGTTTAGATTGTATGCTCTTGAAGAAAAATTCTAAACCACAGTGGCGCTGCATCCAAAGCTAAGCTCCAACATGGTCCCTTAAGGCAAAATGGGCGTATTAGCAAAATTACCCTTGAAAATCCCTTAAATCTTCCATAAAATACAGTGCGGCACACGTAGCTCTGTATGAACAATTCTTTGAGGCAACATGCACAAGGTAGCACGCAGCGAGGCACAGAACTCTACGTGTGCAAGGTGGAATCTGACCGAACCCTGAGTTACACGGAAGAGAAAGCTCACTGCAGGGATAGAGCTGAAACCCAGTTAAATGGGTACCTGGCGTCTAATAACAAAATTGGATTTCTAGTGTCTCTTCAAAAAACAACAAATGAACAAATAAACGGAGACCTGGCATCGCTGGGACGCACCTTCCTGTGAGGCAGTACGTGGCTGCGGCTGAGAAAGTGGCTGCTCTCTCAGGCAGAGCACGGTACCCAGGTTCCGTTCTGGGGGAGGATGGCCCCGTCCCTGGTTTACACAGCCTGCCCGGCCCCTGAGGGGATCTGAGTTTGCGAGCCCTGGTGGAGAGCAGAGGCCCCAAGAGGCTGTCACCTCCCCACCATCCCACCCAAACCCAATTCAGCCCTTCCTAGAGTTGCCTCAGGCCAAGGGGAGGGTCGTCAAAACTCTACAAAAACCATCACACTGGCTAAGTGTCCAGTTACAGGTCCTGTAACTCCCAAGGCCTCTCCTTTGACCAGGAAGCTCTACCCAGACAGACTCAGTCGCCTGGAGGGTCCCCATGGACAAGCCAGGCTCCGCAGGGAGGAGGAGCTGGGAGGGCGTGCAGCCTGATACATCCTGGCTTGTTAGCGTGGCCCTGTTTAACTCTTTCCACTGCCTGGCCTTGGGCCAGGCAGCCCGAGTCCCTCTCTGGATGGCGCACACAGACACGTGCCATTCTGAACATGGTTTAAACGGGTTCCTGGATCCCCTGATGCCCTTCCATGGGCTCTGGGTTTAGAAGCCAGTTCTAGAGCACCCTGCCTGCAGAACGAGGGACAGGCAAGTGACCACAGGGAGCAAGTAGGTCTCTTGAAAGAAAGAGGCCTGTGAGAAGGCACTGTTTCCTGTCCCCTGCCACCGAAGGGCCCAGGAATGCAGGCATCAGGGAAGGTGCTGAGGACACGGTCTGAAGCTGAGGCCGGGCTGACTTTGCGGCGGTGCGATCCCCAGGGCGTTCTGCTCCCTGCCACCTCCGCTCCCTCCTGCTACCCAGGGCCCCGATCTGCCCCTAAGCTTCAGGCCTAACAGGAGGGCACTGCTCCTGTCTGTCTGAGCAGCATGTGAGTCTGTGTCCAAACATATTAGCATTCTGCCCCCTTCTCCCCACCTTCACTGCCTCCACCCTGACCCCACACCACTGCCTTCTCCCGTCTCCATGACTCAGTGGTCTCCCCTCTGCCCTCCTACGAGCCACCCTCCACGGAGCAGCTGGGGAGACGGTTCTGTAGCAGATATCAGGTCTTTCCCCAAAGTGCTCCAAGCCCCCCGAGGCTGTCTCTATGCTGAATCCCACGGTCTTGCTTATGAGATCTGGCCCTAGACACCGCCCACCCGACACCTGGACCCTCCACACTGGCCTCTTTCGGCTTCTCAAACCGAGTAAGTGCATTCCTGCCTCAGACCCTTTGCACGTGCTGCTCCTAGACTTGCAGCTCCCCCAGATCTTTGTGTAGCTGACTCCTCCCTGTCAACCAGGAGCCAGCTCAACCATCACATCCTCAGACAGGCCCCCTGACCACGCGATCTACAGGATTCCTCCCCCATCACAGCGCCTGCTTTATCTCCATCTGAGCGCTTCTCATGACCTGGTCTTGTGTATTTATTCGGAGGTCTGCTTTGCCAGTCTCCCCAAAGCCTGGCACAAACCAGGCCCTCAACAAAGAGCTGCCAACTGAATGAACCCATGGTACTGACGATGGGGTGCAGAGGAAGGTTCTCAATTTGCCTTGGGCCACAGTCCCCTGGAGTACTAGAGAAAGGGACGGGCCTGGGAAAACGCAGACTTACCTCCATTCCTGCTCGACTTTAGAGGGTGGACAGCAGCCCACACCACCACCTGCCTAGTGCCTCCGTGGACCTCGGCTGGGAACCCCCACTCACCTGCAGCTGCCTGAGGGCTTTCTGGGCCTGCTCCGGCTTCCTGTATTCCACGAATCCAAACCCCATGGACAGCAGCGCTCCTGAAAGAGAGGGAGGTGGAGATGGCGCCAGGGTGCTGGGCGGGGAGGAAAACGGAAGAGGAGCCCCAGACCAAGTTCAAGGGCTGCAGGCTGGGCGTCCCCTCTGCAGTCTCATTTCTTCACGCCCTTCCTCACTCCTCAAAAGATCCTAGCTCCCCGCTTGCCATTTATTACTGGTCGTCCTGAAGAATCAGCCAACGACGGGGTGACAGAGCCGCCACCTGAGGCCCAGCTGACTATTAATTAACAGATGATTGACATGATAATTAACTTCATAATAGAATTCTGCCTTTGGGAGGGAGGAGGAACTCACAGGGATGACCAGCCCCATGGTAAGTGGCCTAGACCTCTACCCGAGCAGTCCCCTGCTTCCACACATAATGCATTATATGAACATACCCATCAAAGTCAAGTGTGCCACAGGCTTACTCGTTAAAGAGTATTGCTGACCATCCAGTTACATCTGATTCCTGGGATTCAGATGATCAAGGTGGGACAGGGAGAGTGACTGCATTATTAGACCCTCTCTGGCTCCCTTCTTCCAGGTAGTGAGTGGCAAGAGTTCAGACAGCTGGGAGTATCTCAAAAATGTATACGGAATTTCTGCTTCCTGACCGAGATCTGTATCTGCATGTATATATACATGTATAATTGGGGGACGGAGTTTTCACAGGGCACAAAAATAGAATCTCTAATTACATCTTGCCCTTTTGACAAAACATGTGACGCAGGCCTCTGCCCCAGGCATTTCATACTGATTTATTAATTTTATCCTCTTTTTTTGCAGTTGAACTTAAAGGAGTGGCTCAAGGCTGATGGGCTCAAATGGGGCTCAGGGTTCACTCGGCGGTCCTCGCCTCTGCGTCTGTACTGTTTGAGACAGTGCCCCTGCTTGCTTGAATTTCCATTCCCAAACGTGGATTGTAACATGAGGGTCCCAAGCAGGAAGAAATCCTGCACACTGCCCCCAAACCGGCTCTGTGGGGACAGAAGGGAGGCTCAGACAGAACTGCCGGCTGATAGGCAGCGCCACCCTGTGGTGACTTTAAGTGTTTGTTTTTCAGCAGCTATTTGAAAGCTCTGTTCTGAGAGTCAAGGTTGTGCACGGTGGGTAAGTGGTGTTTGTGCACAGAGGATATTTTAAAAGCACACTGAGTGTGCAAAAGGCAACTACAGAAAGTCAAGTTCATTGCCCAGTCACTGACGCTGTGCTGACCCATTCTGCCCTTCTGCCCAGGGGTGATTTCTATGACCCAGCAGGACCTGGGCTCCCTGGCTTTCCGGCTTCCTGGTGGGTTTAGCCAATGGGAAGCTGGGATTTGAGATGGACGGGTGGAGGAGAGAGAGTTGGGGCCCTGGTTTCTTCCATACACCCCACCCAACTCTGGTGTGGTTCCGGTGGCACCAGTGTCCAACCCACACCCTCGGCTCTGCTGGTGGCCCTCCTTCTACGGCTCTGGTCACACCACTCCTCCCCTATGGCCTCTGGGCTCAGCAGGGAGGGGCTCTCCCGCCTCGACATCCCCTGTGGGTCCCTGCAGCCCAGCCCGCACCGTGGCACTTGGCACCTCATTACAGACGTCTCTTCCACAACCCCAGCAAAGTGTGCCTTCTGGTTCCTGCTGAGACCCTCGCTGATAACAGACACTGTCTAGGTTCTCCCCCGTAACTGTGATGGATGAGCCCAGAGAGCAGGGCTCTCAAATACAGGTTCTTGAAAAAAGAGAGTGTAGGTTTCGAGAGCTGTTCATGACACCAACAGATCAGGTAACGGTTCTAAAGCACACTGAAGAGTGCTCCGAGGGCGGAGAGGCAGGCCCCACAGAGCAGCCCGTCGCAGAGGGGGCACGGCGACCCGACAACCCCCAGGGGCAGCCCTAGGTGGAGATCGCGGCACCTCTGCCAGCCTGGCTCACTCCCCAGGTGTCAAGGGTCACCTTCTCTCCTGAACCCCCCACAACCGAGCCTTGGTGTCACTCACTTGGTCCTCAGCTGCCTTTCCTTGTTTCTCAAACTAGATCTGCAGCTCCTGGGGAACAGGGACGTCATGGTTTGAACTGTGTCCCCCTCACATCTGTATGAAGTCCCAAGCCCCGGTATCTCAGAACGTGACCTTATTTAGAGACAGGCTCTTCACAGAGATACCTAATGACCTCATTTAAACTTGGTTAAGCCCTAAGCCAGCAAGACTGATATCCGTTATAAAAAAGAAAAGGGGGGATGGTGCGGTGCAGGTGGAATCTGAACACTGGACAGGTGCATACAGGGAGAACGCCCGGGGCACATGAGGATGGTCATCTACAAGCTGAGGAGAGAGGCTGGAACAGATCCTTCCCTCACAGCACTGAGGATGAACCAACCCTGCCCACAGCCTGACCTTGGACCTCTGGCTTCCAGAACCGTGGGATAATACATTTGTTGTGGAAGCCTAGTTTGTGGTGCTTATGGCAGCCCCAGCAAATGAATACAGGGAATGCCCCGAATTCTATGCTACATGTCTGCTTTAAAACCCTCCGAGGCTCCTCTGGGAAAGAGCCCAGACTCCTGCGGCTGGCAGGAAGGCACTCTGTGCGCTGGAACGGGCCTATCTTCCTAGATGCATCTTCTGCCTCTTCAATCCACTCCCGACCTGCTACTACAGCCCTCTCAGCCTCCTTCATCCACACACCCTGCTCCCGCTGGCTGACTGCTCCATCTCCCTAACCCTACAAGTCCCGATCTGACATGAAGACCCCCATGCTGGGCTCCTGTCCTGCACCAGGGACACCCCTCCCAGGCCCCTTGTTGCTCTGTGCTGTAGCCACCAGCTCATTTGTCTCTTAGGATGCAGCCACGGGCTGACCCACGTGGCATCCTTCCAAATCCCGCCTCATGGAAGGGATGGGGACTGCGCAGCTGCGAACAAGCAGGGAGGGATGGCCTGCCCGTCACCCGCAGGAAGCCAGGGCTGGAGAAGAAACAGAGCAGAGGCCAAGGGATTTGTGACAACACCCGAGGCTGAATGGAGAGGCGACAGCGGCGTCTGCATGGCCCAGGCACCCAGGGAGGCGCAGAGCTGCTGACTCGGTGGGGTGTTCTGGGTTCTCTCTCTTAGAAGGGGAGTGGGAAAGCCCAAGATCCAGATATCCAGAGCACAGAGATGCTGGGAGGATGCAGAAGTTTCTGCTACTGAACAGCATCAACCCCGCCAGCCCACTACATCGCCTGCTCTGAAGCCACCTCGGATGTCCAGGGTGGCAAAGGGTCTGGATTCGGAAGGACCAGATGTGCGTGGTCACTTCTCCTGGAAATCAGGAGCCTCCAGGGACACAGAAAGAAGGACCACTTTAGACGAGCCAAGTGTGAGGCTGTGGCTGACAATGCTTCAGGATAAAAGAGAAGCTTCGAAAGAAGCAAGCCCCCCCCACCCGGGGCTGCACTGCTTCTTTCTGAGTCGGCCCTGCCTGAGGTCCCCTGTGGAATACCTGCTTTGTTCTTCTTCTTGGAAATAGAGCAGCTCTTGACCAGGCCCACTTTGGAAAACACCTGGAAGAGAATGTCCACACGTTGTCATCAGCATCTCGGGGCTAATCCTGCAACTGGTGCACGCAGGCACCGAGAGGGTACGGGTGAGAGTGGAGCCCACCCCTGGCTGTGCCTCCGTGGCCAGGCCCCGTCCCCAGCCCTCTGCCTGCACGAGCTCATGCAGCCCCTGCAGTGACTCCACGAAGTAGGTGTTGCTCCCCCCGATTTTCAGATGACAAAACTGAGGCTACGAGGGGTTAGAGATGGCGCCCGGGGTCACAGAGCTGGGAAGCCCTGGAGCTGACATCTGGACCCCGGCTCCGGAGCCCAGGTTCTAAACCATGCAGGTGTGGGCCCTCGTCAGACACCAGGCTTCCCGAATTTGCCCCAGTGTCATCTCGGGGTCCCCAAAATATTTCAAGGCACTGGATCGTGGCCTACTTTAGGTAGCTTGGATGGTCCCTGAGGGTTCCCCGTAAGGGCAGCTGGGCTGGGACCTGGCTCCAGGTACTCAGGAAGGACCTGATACCAAAGAGCCCAGAGATTCACTGAGAGTCACGCAGTACATTTGGAGGCTTGGAGTCCACTGATCTGGGTCCTGACCCTTCTCATTGCCTCTGCACCTAATACCAACTAATTTTTCAAACTTAAAAAAATTACATTCCACTCCATCTTCCCCTTTATTTTTTCTGTCTCTCTTGCCAGAACTTGAGACCTGACCAGTGTAAACTCATGTCTTTCTGCCTGGTTCACTGCTGTGTCTTCCACACACCTGGGGCCCAGGAAGAGGCGGGCGCCAGTCACTGTTCATGGAGGGAGCAAAGGCTGGGGCCAGGGCCCACAGCCGACATTCACTGACTACCTTATTCCAAATGTCAGACACTTCACTTGGATTATCTCACGCGTTCTAATCAGAGCTTCTGAATAACTCCACAAGAAGGTTCTGTTAACACCCCCATTTTACAGATGGGGAAATTGAGGCACAGAAAGGATAAAGGACCCACCCTGGGTCACATCGTTAGAGAGGAACAAGGCCGGGATTCAAATCCAGGCAGTCTGACCCCTGAGCACAGCTCTACACTCAGATGAGTCACTGAGATGGGAGCCCTGTGAGCTGGATGCTGCTCCCCACAGCGCCTCCAATGGGCTGTGTGACCCCAGGTCAGTGAACTGGCCTCTCTGAACCTCAGTCTCCACTTCTGTAATGTGAAGAACATGGACTAGATCATTCTGGCTGCACTTTGCAGTTCCAGAATTCTTGAATTCCGAGGATGCTCTTAGACTGAAGTTTGGGCACATCTTCCAGGAAAAAGGGATTCCTGTTGACGACATCCCCAGATGTAGGAGAGCTGGCATGCCAGAATTAAAAACTGACAGCAAGCTGGCTTGGCCGCTTCAAAGCTCTCCAGCCTTTGGCCACTACTAGCGTGTGCCTGTTTGTAAAAGCAAATCCAAACCAGACTGAAATGGATCCAAGACGTGGCCAAGGGAAAGCCCAAGGGTGGGCTTCCCACTGCTCAACAGGGTGGCCCTTTGCCCTTAAAATGCTGCTGTTTCGCCAGGCACTTCTGCTGCCAACGTGGCTCTGCTAACTGGCAAGTGATGGTCACGTGGGAGGCTCAGCCAGAGGGTGGCAGAGTGGAGGCTGTGACTTCCTGCCTGTCCCCAACACCCCTGGCTTTCCCCTCCAGATGCAGGCTGGCCTCCTTTCCACCCACCCACCCTCTGCCTGCCTCCGGGACTCAGTGGACACTGCCTCCCCTTTTGAATCCATCTATAGGATTTCAGAACTCAAAAGAATTTATAGAAACCAATCAGTTCAGTCCTTATGGCCCTCTCCCTTTCCAGAAGCAGTTCATGCTATCAGCCTGCTAATGCATTAAATTAAAAAACAAAAAGGCATCGAGCATTTATTCTGTGCCAAAACCAGCTTGCAGAAATGGAGAGTCTCCCCACGGGCAGTTCTCAGGCCAGTGGGGGGGCTCACAGACCCCAATCCTTCAGAACTGGAGTCCCCATTTCCGGATCTCCAGTCCACTTCCTTCAAGAAGCCCACCCACTGCACCCCTAACCTGGCATTTCCCAAACACCTACTTGGAGTTCCTCATCCTTTTACCTTCCACCCTCTTCCTACGACTGCAAATCTCTCACCACCTTAGGGGACTCCAGGCCAGCTGCCCCACCTCCAGACTCTCACAGCGACAGTCTGCAAGTTCCCACCAGGCCAGGAGGGTGTGCTGGCATTTACTTTTGGATAGTTAACCTCATAGACACGATCTGGGGAGGGGCTCTGTTTTCTCAATACACCCTGCTGACACTGACTACAGTTTTCACACTGCATCCGCCTCCCTAGGCACCCTGACAGGTCCCCTTGCTCGCATGTAGGCGCCCCTCCCGGCCCCCAGGCTGGTCTGGCTGCAGCTCAAAGCTCCACGTGAGATGTCTACTGGACGGCCTGCCAGGCAGCAGCGTCAAACGGGTGGCTGTTGGCTGTGCATCTATGCAGTGTTTTGAGTCAGGCCTACCAGCAGGTAACTGCAATGATCCCATCGGAGACGGGGTTTCCCAGCCCCACCGGGTCCCTCCCGGCTCAAGCAGTCACTCACCGCCTTCAGCGTCTCCTCGGTTGTGCTGAAGTTGAGATTTTTGATGAACAGGGTGCACCCGGGAAGGCTCTCCTCCTCCTCGTCTTCCTCCTCCTCCTCCTCTTCTTCCATCTTTGCTGAAACGTTGTCTGCTTCCCCCTCTTTTGGCTTTTCACCTTCCAGGGTCTTGCAGTCTGGCATGGGGTCCCCCAAAAACAGATCCATTAAATGATGTCTTACCTGCCTAACCCCCAGGAGCTAAAGCCCAGAGCCCGCTAGATGAAGGGGGTCTGCCCCTGAGTGGCAGCGTCAGGAAGGGACACTGTTGAATCCTGGCATGTGTTGGGTTTTAGTAACTCTTGTAAGGCAGGGAGGGGGGAGTGGAGATCATCTTGCCTCCTGCCTCTGTTTTAAGCAGAGAGAAAGGAGTATGAAACAGACCAAAAACCGCGAGCCTTAACTTGGACTAACCCACATTATATAACCCACAGAACTTGAACTTCAAAATAAATTACTGTGTGAGCTGTTTTATTGAACCCCAAACGTACACAACATACTATTTTCCCTCAAAAAAAAGCACTTAGCGAGCTTTCAAACTAAAATGCAACTTAAAACTCTGCAAAAATTACAGAGTGGGAGCAGAACTTAGAACATTCTGAACATCACTTGAACTGAAGGGAAGCGAAATTCATTTACAATTCCCAATTTACATAACTTCAGGCAGCATGCACACAAAAGAGTGTGTTTTTATCTACACCAGATGTATTCAGTTCAGAGCTATGCATAATAGTGAAAAGCTGAAGGGAAAGGAAAAAAAAAAACAACACTGTATAGTCATGAACAGGAGATCGGGATTGTGAGACAGCCACCGAAGGCCAGACCAATACACAGTCATTAAAAATGATGTTTTCTAAGAATGTTTAAAGACATGGAACGATACTCATGATAGAAAAATTAAGAGAAAAATGAAGATACAAAACGTGACCCCTGATCACGTTCGATACGCAGAGTTTCTGAGAAACACACACAAGAAGAGAAAACTCGAGGAAATGCACCACGTGCTCCTGGTTACTTCTGGACATTGTGATTATCAAGGGTTTTGCGGGTCACCCCTACCTCGCCCCCGTACCACGCCTCCTCTGAAGGAACAGCATTTCAGGAGGAGGGAAGGGCAGCTGCGAGGCTGTGAGTTAGCAGGGCAGGTGTGCGGTGGCAGCTCAGGCAGCCGGTCAGCCC